CCCTGGCCACGACACTACAGTCAGGGACAAGACGATGAGTGAGATGCTTCTTAGACCAAGCCAAGTGCTAGAGGGGATTCCCCCCAGCACCTGACCAGGAGCTTCCCCACCAACGACAAGGTCTTGCATCTCCTAGGGGAAGATCCGTCATAGATATTAACTAAATCAAACTGAGACGGTACGGCAAAAGAACTGAAAATGTTTGGGATGTGTGAATAGGCCCTTAAACTTACTTTGATTTTTTCTTCCAATTAGGGAAGGTAGTTTTATTTATGAAATAATAATAAAATAAAATAACGCTATATTGTGCAAAAAGCCTAAATAGCTTCATCGACAAACCATTTACAAAACAAACAAAAGCACAAAAAATATACAAATAATACAATTCAAAAAAAAAAATAAGTCATTAACAGCAGAACACAAAAAAAAGGCGTATCAATAAAATTTTACAATAGGAAAATTGTAAATGGATATAATTTTAAGAGTTATAAAATATTAAATACTCGACCTTTGACCAGTGTGTGAGATGATCAAAATTTTAAAATTCAAAATTGTTCATGATTAAACATCAACAAAAAAGTCGTTTACCGCATATAGGGCTCTCTCCGGTAAGTATGCTTTCAGAGCTTTGCGAAATGCGGGAAAGAATGAAAGCGACTTGATATTCAACAGCAGATGATTGTACATTTTTTGGCATTGTAAAGTATTGAACCTTTAGCTAGTTCTGAGCTCGGGATTGGCAGATAAAGATCGTGCTCCGCATTCCTAAATGGATAGTTGTGAGATGACCTTTCGGGAATAGCAGATATGTGCTTGCGGATTAAGCAAACGGATTCAAAAATGAATAAAGAAAGAAGAGTCAGTATGTTGAAATTTTTAAAGAAATTCTGGCAGTGAGTTCTACTGCTCAGTCCCAATAAATATCGAACTGCTCTCTTTTGAAGTTTGAAAATACGATCAAATTTTGTTGCGCAGCAAGTACCCCAGAATGGAAGGGCATAACGAAGATGTGACTCAAAAAGGGCATAATAGGCTATTCTAGAGGTTGATAAGTCAAGTTCCTTAGAAACTGCTACTAACAAATATAATGTCCCGGATCTATAATAGAGGATATATCTCTCATTTTCTATTGCTTCCTTGGATTTCAGGTTAATTCCTATTGTGAGGATCTGACCATGGCCCTCCTCCCTCGAGTTGATGACTCGCCAACTCGATGTCTTTACATTGAAATTCTGGCAAACACGTAATTTTGTAACTGATCGTTAAACTTGTCAGAAAGTTAATGTTTATGCAAAAAATAGTTATTTTTTATATATATACTCCAGGGTTGTCGCAACTAACGTCGCATCCCCACGCCTAACCGCCACCTCTTACGATCAAGAACATCTTCCTCTTCCAAGTTACTGTCCTCCATTGCCCTTCTGATGGCCTCATTCCAAGATCTTCTAGGCCGTCCTCTTTTCCTTTTTCCAGGAGGTGACCAGCTGTAGATACGGTAGGGCCATCTTTGGTATTCCATGCGTAGCAAGTGTCCAAACCACTTAAGGCCCCTCCGATCGACTCTATCCACTACTGTCTGTGTGGCATCCGTTTTGGCTCTGATTTCCACACGTCCCTAACTCTGTCCAGTTTAGATACTCCCGCACTGCGTCTCAAATAGTCCATTTCGAGTGCATTCAAAGCTCGCTTTTGTTCAGCTTTTAAGGTCCAAACTTCACACCCATAAGTTACTACCGACTCCACTAGGGCTCTTCCAATATGTACTTTTGTGTTTGGTCTTGTGTTTTTATCCCACCAGATGCCATTCAGTGCTCCTATAATCTTCCGCCCTTGTTCTATTCTAGCAGATACTTCTGTTTTGTCCAGTCCCTTTTTGGTTATACGTGCCCCCAAATATTTAAACCATTCAACCTGTCTGAGCTTTACATTGTCAGTAATAAAAATGTCAAATTTATCATCTGAATTGGTCACTAGATATTCCGTTTTATCAATGTTCACAGTAAGGCCCCATTCCGTGTATGCCGAATTTAATCTGCTCATCATGAATTCAAGGTTGTAAGTATCTTGAGCTATGACCACCCGATCATCGGTAAAATTCAATGTAACCAAACAGTCATCTCCTACAGGGATGCCCATTCCCCCACATCTCTTCTTCCAGTCCCAGAATGAGTGGGAGGGGGGTTAATCACTTCGACCTTACAGATCCATTGTGTCCCCCTTTCTTGAATCATAACTCATCATACAGTCCCAGGGCTTTGACAAAAGCCAGTATCTGGGACGGTTTTATAGAGGGTAGTTCTTCATCTCCAATATCAGTCGTACCAAAATTCATGGCACGAATGGTTGTCGTCTCGGCGCACTCAGTGATGAGGTGTACTGGTGTTTCACCATCTTCCCCACAGAATCTGCATTCGCCGTTTCTTCTTAGTTTCAATCTACTGAGGTGTTCATTGATGAGACAGTGTCCTGTTAAAAACCCCGTGACAATCCGAAGATTGTTCTTACTCGACCCAGAAGATCTGTGATTTTTATTGATCATAAGCCCTCAGAAACTTCTTCGAGTGTCCTAGACCATTGCAAGATTTCCATTCCAGGTTGCGGATGGAATCTTCCAAGTTCTTGAGTTCCTCCTTGAGTTGGTTACCACTTGGAAAGCAGAACGGTTCTGGTCCAGTTAGTGGAGTGTTCGCTCCTTTTCTACCTAGATTATTTGCTTTTTCATTGCCTTTTATCCCTTGGTGAGCAGGCACCCAGTGTAGGAGGACTTTGTTTTCTTTGCCTAATTTATTCAGCTTCTCTATGTATTCTTTGACCAATTTCGAATTGATTGAGACTGAGTTGATCGCCTTTAACGCTGCTTGACTATCAGATAAGATGGCTATTTCTTGTTTCCGATAGTTCCTATCTAAGATAAGTTGTACGCATCTCTCGATAGCGTAGATTTCTGCCTGTAGGATACTAGGGTAAGTGCCCATTGGTTCGGAGTAATTAGCTCTCGGCCCAACACTCCGATCCCTGTTCCCGTATTGGTTTAGGAAGCATCAGTATACCAAGTTATGGTATGGTCTTTTAACTGCTGGGCAAGCGTTTTGCTCTTCCAATCCTTTTTATTGCCCAATACTACATTGAGATGTTTCTCAAAGTTGTAGGTTCTTGGCATATCGTCCACTGGGAGTTGCAGGAGTGGTATTTCCTTTATGAGGGTGTTCCAAGCCCCTGATCTGACAATTCTCCCAGTACTAATTCCGTTAGTGACCATTCTAATCATTGTCGCATTGGCATATATGCAATGACAATGTGCAGTGGTGTTAGATCTAGAATGACCTCCATTGCTGCTGTTGGACAGGTTCTCATGGCTCCTGTGATGCAAACGCATGCTAGTCTCTGGACTTTTCCAGTCCCTAAGAACCACTTCCAAATACAGATTAAATAAAAGAGGCGACAGAGGACATCCCTGTCGAAGGTCTTTGGTCGTAAAAATTACGTCAGACAGTCGGTTACCGCTCTTAACATGAGCTGTGTTGTTGTTGTACAGCACCTTAATTAAATTTATGAGACATTCATCCACATCAAGTTGTTCCAGTATGTACCATAGTTTAACTCTGGGGATGGAGTCGTAAGCTTTTTGAAGGTCTACAAAAGCTAGATATATATCTTCTTCACGTGAATTCCGTTTTTCTATCAGTTGTTGGATAGTAAATAGATTATCTATACATGAACGCCCTGCAGTAAAGCCACTCTGTTCTTCACTGATTTTGTTGTAAGTAGATATTTCTAACTTATTTCTAATTATTTTTGTAAAAAGTCTGCTGAAGGTGCAATTCACACTAAGACCTCTGTAGTTATTCGGGTCTTTTCTGTTCCCTTTTTTATATATAGAAGTGATATAGGCTAACTTATAATTCATTAGGTATTTTATTCCGATCTACACACATCTGCATTAAGTTTGTTATTTCTGTTATAATACATTCTCCGCCATATTTTGGCATTTCAGCCATAATACTACCCGGTCCTGGAGCTCTACCGTTTTTCATAGACACCAAGGCTTGTTTAACTTCCTCGATCGATATATTTGTTCTAGCTTCTGTAATAGTGACGGCTTCATTGTTTTTTGTAAAAACTGTCGTCGTTGTTCTATTAATAGGTTTTCATAATGTTTCCTCCAGTTGTTTTTTATACAAGACGATAAAATGGTATTTTATCGTCGACCGAAAAGATTAATTCACGAGGGATGAAATCGCCAGTGAATTAATTTCGGGAAACGATAATGCAATTTTATCGTCGTGTATAATACAATATTTTTTTCCATAGCCAGTTACGTTTCAAAAAATATTCAGAAATTATTATTTCAAGGAATTTATTACGGGTAAAAAAAAAGTATTGTGCTGGGTTGGAGTTGATTTCTATGTAATTTGACAAGTAAATAAAGCTGTCTCTTTAGTTGTCAGCTTTGAGTCAATATTTTTTAATTCTCTTTCGTGTCGATTGCTGATTGAATTGGAGCCAGAAATGGCTCAAAACGAAATAAGTAAATTACCAACAGATATTCAGGCTGAGGCGACAAACGTCATATCCAAACTACTTCCATCTAAATTCCGAATAACTTATGAAAAGGAATATAAAAATTTTCAAAAATTAAAAAACGTGCGAGAAGAAATAAAGTTTTTAACCTATCCTCGCTGTTAAAGTATCATTTAGTCGAGCATTTAGTCTACCCTTGGGGTTAAAGTATTATTTTATCTACTATTTTTGATAGATTTAAGGCAATTTTAACAGCTGCTATGGAAAAAAATGAACAAACGAACCAGATAAACCAGCCTTTTTGCGCTGGTTAATTTGGGGACAATAATGACAGATATATTTTCAGGAATCGTGTTCATTTATTAAAAAAGGTGTAAAATTAAACCAAAACGTAAAAACTCAACAATTATTACCAGTAAATCATTTTCTAACGACTTCTCAAAACACCGCGTTACTTTATGAAAAAACTAATGCGGAAATGTTTAAAATTTGCGTCAGTA